ACAGCGCATCACCCCGGCCCCTCACGGCCTGTTCAGCCTTCGGGGGCCAGCACTCTCACTCCCCACCGCCATGGCGCATCAGCAGGAGATGTGAGATGGGAGGAGGTGCACCAAGCCTCTGCTGGCCGACTGCCCTGCTCCTCTGTGTGAGCGCACACCGTGGGGGGAGGGGCAGCGCAGGCCTGCTACCCGGCTGCTCTACGGGGTAAACTTGTGGCTATAACCACTCCGACCGGGGAGATACCAGCTGATGGCGAAAGGCTCCCCCCTCAGAGGCCCGCCCACAGCGGCCTGTTGGCCGCCGGAGTGTCCGCTCAGGCCACAGGCCCCTCTATGAAGGCGCCTCCTCACGGCCTCGCCTCAGGGGACCACAGCGTGCACCTGCTCACCAGAGGATGCCATGTGGGGAGTGGGGCATGGGAGGTGAGCACACCCAGCGGGCAGGGAGGGCTCCCCTCCACCAGGCCCTGCTCCTGCCCCGCCCCTCACCTGGGGCAGGCCAGTGAGGAGGCTGGCGCGGCTGGGCGAGCAGCTGCTGACCGAGGTGAAGGCGTTGCGGAAGACCAGGCTGCGCCGGGCCAGGGCGTCCAGGTGCGGCGTGGCGATGGCGCTGTTGTTGTAGGCGCCGCTCTCAAAGCCTCCGTCATCCGCTAGGAGGCGGGGGACACCGGACACGGTGAGCGGGGCTCAGGAGCAGCCGTGTGTGGGAGGGAAGAGCTGGGTCCTGCGGCAGTGGCCTGGCCAGTGATGCCCAGGTGGGCGAGCCACCCAGGTGGGCATTACCAAGTGGGCATTTGATTCAGCAGGCATGATACCCGAGTGGCAGTGTTACCAGCCAAGCGTGAAAACCAGCGAGCATGTTAGCAGGCAGTACTCAGGTGGGCAGAGCGCTCAGGTGGGCAGGGCACTCAGGTGGGCATGACCTCAGGTGGGCAGGGCGCTCAGGTGGGCATGACCTCAGGTGAGCAGGGAGCTCATGTGGGCATGACCTCAGGTGGGCATGACCTCAGGTGGGAAGGGAGCTCAGGTGGGCAGGGTGCTCAGGTGGGCAGGGACCTCAGGTGGGCAGGGAGCTCAAGGGGGCACGTTAGCAGGCAGGTGTGGTGGGGCAGCACTGGGCTTGGCACAAGGAGGTGATCCGTGGGCAGGGCTCCGCTGGTGCCTGGGGGGGTTGTTGAGGGAGCCCTCAGTGGAGGGCGGCCGGGTTGCAATGAGCTGAGCCTGGCCACAGACCACAGGGTTAATCAGAGCGCCCTGGCCCGGGGCCAGCCCTCAGAAAAGGGGAAGAAAGGGCTACCCTGTGACAGCCGGGCTGTCCCAAACCGGAAGTCTCCTAAGAGCAGGGGGACTGGGAGATTCTGGGAGGGAAGGGGCTGAGGAAGAGGGTGTGGGTGGGAGAGAGCTGACCCTCAGCTCTGGGCGTCAGAGAAGCCGCTGGGAGACCGGAGCCCCAGGCACGCAGGCCTCTGGGGAGGTGGGCATCGCCCCGCTCTGGCCTCCCTGCTGGGCTCTGTGGACCACGAGGTCGGGGCTTTGGACAGGGGAGGGGTGCAGGGTCAGCCGGCGAAGGAGTGGGGGGCTGAATGCGGGGCAATCCCTGCAGACCCCGCAGTGAGCGAGCCTGCCCCGCCTCCCTCTCCACGGAGGGACCACGGGTGTCAGGGCCGCAGAGGGAGCCGGGCGGCGGCAGTGAGGGCTGCGGGGGAGCGAGGCCACTCACCCAGGATCAGCAGCACGTGGCGGGGGCGCGCCCGGT